AGGGATTGGTTGTGAGGGGAAAGGTATTGAATGTCTCTTGGGAGGAAAAGTAGCCCTGCATACCCGGCAGGATGTCTACATTACTCTATAGTTACACAACTTTACTTCTGTGTTTACCTGTATCCTGCAATGTGTGAACTGTCTTACACCAACTCTGAATGTGGCCTCCAACTTCCCCAGAGCTACCTGAATAATTCTCCTGGAAGTGTCCCCAATATTTTTGCTGTGCCATAAAGATTAAAAGATAAACTTGAAGAGCTCTGGTTCACTTGGGGGACCTGTGATTTGCACATAGGAGGCTTCTCACCCTGTCTTTTCTGCTGTTTCATATTTTGACACATTTCAGTCAAACCAAATGTTTGTGTGCCGGAGATTGGCTTATGAAATTAAAGTGGACTCATGAAAATCATGGACTGAAAAACTACCTTATCTTAAATATAAGTATTTTCTAGGGATTATGTGACTATAAATAAAATAGACATTTTCTAGTTATTGTCACTAATCTGTAGACAAATGACAGCATTGTGTTTTACATTATTTATGGTACACTGTCTTCTGTCTTCTGCATCATAGCTCTTTTCTTCCAATGTAGAAATGATGCAGCAGCATGCTCACTTATATTACAGATACATAATATAGAGTAAACACACCTGTGGTTGAAAGGAAACCCAAAGATGAATGTGGTGCATCCCTGTCATCTCTGGACTTGGGAGGTGCAAGCAGGAAATCATGAGTTCAAAGTCACACTCTACTTCAGAGCAAATTCAAATCCATCCAATTTTAAATGACACTGTGCACCTCCAATGTTTACACATATTTTATATACACCATATTCTTCTTTTCTTTGTATCGCATGTCTTAGTACTAGATAACTGAAAGAAATCAATCCAGTGGATGTTTTCTGAGTTTACAAACTTCTCCATTGCTTGAGAACTTTTATCGATTGTTACTGACATGTAGTTTAGGTTTTTCTTACTGAAATACTCTTGTTAAGACATTAAACTTGGTGGAGTATGGTGTCACATGCCTTTAATCCCAGGACTCCGGAGACAGAGGCAGGCCAGTCTCTGAGTTCCACTATGGCCTGGTCTACATAGTGAGTTCCAGGACAGCCTGATCTACACAGTGAGTTCCAGGACAGCTGGGGCTACACAGAGAAACTGTCTCAAAAAACCAAAACAAGAAAGGAAGTAAAGGAGGGAGGAAGGGAAGGAGAGGGAGGAAGACATTAAACTTGGTGATTAGATATTTGTATTTGCTCTGTAGAAAAGGATCTCCTTTGTCTTGCTTTATTATTGTTCCATGTGTGCAGGGAATGTTCCTTATCTTTGCATATTCCACATGTTGTATTCTGTCACAATCCTATGGTGATTTCTTCTGATTTAACCTGAATTCTTGCAGTTTGTGCTCCATCTCGTCTGAGACTTACACAATTTCCCTGTTTCCCACTCCGCAGTTCTTGACTTTACATCCCCCTCTCTCTACACAAAGCTGCCTTCCCCAGTCCTTACACCACAAGTTCAGTTGTGTGCGGGATGCTTCTTTAGATGCTTCTGTTCACTAGCTAGGCAGGAAGAGTTAGGTGGGACTTCTGGGAACAGAGAGGATGCTGGGAAGAAGAATGTCAGTTGCCAGCCAGGTGCGGAAGAAGCAGGAATATGGAGAGATGAGGTAACAAGTCATATGACAGAATGTAGATTAAAAATAGGGGTTAATTTAAGTTATAAGAAATGCTTAGGAACAATCCTAAGCTAAGGCCAAGCCTTAATAAGTAATAATTAGTCTCCCTATTGTTATTTGTTAGCTGGAAGCCCAAAGAAAAGTGCTGCTACATATGACATCCAGTGTGGGGCCTCAAATATCCAAACATAGGACCTGAGAAAGCTAAGAAAAGTCCCAGACAAGGAACCATATATCACTTATGAGTCCTGCAGTCTCTCAGGTGGACCAGTGCTCAGCATACAGAGATGTGGCTACTGTCTGCTACCTGTGGGCTAGGACCAGCCACTAGCACCATGTGGCAGTGCCAGGCTCTACTTAGGGTGGCTGACATGGCAATTTAAGATTTGTCTCACATGGTCAGAGAATGCTGCACACACTTGGTAAAGCCAGGTCCAAACAGAGAAGACCTGGTTTAATAAAACACTGATTGGCCAGTAGCCAGGCAGTAAGTATAGGTGGGATAAGCAGACAAGGAGAATTCTGAGAAAAGGAAGGCTGAATCTGGAGTTGCCAGCCAGACACAGAGGAGGCAAGATGACAAGGCAGAACTGAGAAAAGGTACCAAGCCATGTGGCTAAATATAGATAAGAATTATGGGTTAATTTAAGTGTAAAACCTAGTCAGTAATAAGCCTGAGCTAATGGCCAAGCAGTTGTAATTAATATAAGCCTCTGTGTGTTTACTTGGGGGACGCGAGTGGGAGATTTGTCCTGACCGCTGGCCAGCTGGGACACAGGAAAACTTCCAGCTACAGCTTTTCAAGTCTCTATTTCATGACTTCCATCCTGATTTTTATTATTTATTATTGGTTTGACTTCTTGTTTTTCTCCAACTTTGAAGTCCATTGTTGGATTATTTGCTGGAGACTTCTCTAATATTGAAGTTAAGAACTCAGTACAGCCATTCTTTATAGGACTGTGTTCTGATGTCTTCAGTGAGTTCATAGAGAGGTGTATTATTTAGTCACCAATTGTGTATTTTCCAAGTTAGTCTCTCTATTCATTTCCATTTTACTCCCATGTGTCCCAATAAGATGAACAGGTTATTTGTTTCTTTCTTTCTATTTATAAATGCTTGGTTTGTGGTCTATAATGTGGTCCATTTTAGAGGTTTTTGCCACTGAGCAGACTGTGTTTCCTATGTGTTGGTATAACGTTCTATAGCTATATTTAAGTCCAGTAGACATTTGGGTATTCATTTCTGGGGAATCTTTGTGTATTATCAATTTGGAGGACTAATCTCCATATAAGAATGAAGTACTTTATGAGTGCCTTATTATTTACATTAACATTTACAATAATATGTCCTTTTTTGTCGATATGTAGTGACCATGCTCATTTCCATAGAAACAGAGACCTGTGTTAAAAAGGGAGATGAGCCAAATGAACTCATTCACAAATATGAATCATTGTAACTGAATTTCTTACTTCAATATTTTGTATATGTCATCAAAAGGCACCTCAAAATTTAGATGTTTTCTTCTTTTCAAATAGAATCCAGAACATATAAAGCTACCAGTAACTGGACTGAAGGGGCAAGGACAGTCTTTATTTCCTTGTTTTCTTCTGTTATAATCATCATAGACTACACAATTACATTCAGCTTAGCAGGGGGACCTTTCCAGGCTGACTCCATAAGTTACAAGAGTACATCATACCACTAGATAAACTCCACCATGAGCAGTATTGCAAAGTAAAAATGCCTGCTACATATATGCTGGATAAACAGTTACCTCAGAAAGTGGTCATCTGGGTGATGGAGTCGGATGTTATCTTTAGAAGCTATACTCTTGTACGATGCAAAGCAAAAAATCAAACACCCAGTACCTAGCTAAGCATTTTCATTATTAAGGGCCTGTAGGAGTACACACTAATCATTCCTAGACCTTGCAACTTCTAACTTACACTCTCCTCTCCAAACCTAATTCATGTTTACCACTGGGGCTGTATTATTCATTCTCCTGTATCTAATACTATAGAAATATTGGCATTTGTGTTACCAAATAGTTAATAAAATTCATACTTAATCATTGCAGGGAAGAGGACATGCATTTCTTATGGTGATTAAAAAAACTATGTGATTCTCCCCCCCCCCCCCCCACTGTCTCAGAAGTTATATAGCTTCCTTGTGAATTAGTGTCTATCATGTGAGTACAGACTCTTCCTTCTATAGAGGCTTGGATTTTGGTCTCTGGCATGACCATTACAGAATTAAATATTGTTAAGAAGACATAGGAGGTCCCAATGGTGCACATCAAGCTTTATTCTGGTGAATTCATTTTTCTATTTCTATGAACATAATTCAGTTATCTTTGTATTCAAGAAAGAACCATCTGTATCCCAAGTTAGAGGAACTGAGGGAAGTTCAAGGCAGATAGCCTTGACCTTTAAAATACTGTCACACAGGAAGAATTTCAGGATGAGAGATGGAAGAAACTGAAGAAATATAAAACCTAATGCTGAGATAAATTCTACAACAGGAGATGATGGCTCAGGAGTCAGCACACTCCTGAATGTGATTCCATGGTTGTGGTGGGGGCGCGCGCGCACAGCGGGGGGGGGGGGGGGGGGGATTGGGGGTGTCCTGTTACAGCTCACAAAAACTAAATTTCTTCCATAGATTAATGGATTCATGTATGGAGAAGGGGCTTGTGGACATATGGAAAGATTCTTAGGTAGATTCTGGGAATTCTTTACATGTAAACGCCAGAGAGCTGGACTTTTAATCTTGTTCTACAATTCTAAATCATCTCTCTGTCCCCTGACCATGCAATGCACTACACTGTATGGATTCCAATGTTCACACTAAGAAATTTTTCCCCCTGGCTGCGGCACAAGGTTTATTTTACTACAGTAGAACAGGGTTCTTTATTGTAGTGGTGTGTTTATACCCAAGGCCTCCTTTATCCCAGCCAAGGGTTTTACCTCTAAGATGCTCCCTAACCCTTTCTGTACTTTGGGACGGTGTCTCTTAGCCTTTGATTTGGAGTAATTTTGTCTCAAGCTCCTGAGCATCTGCTACGACAGGGCGGGTGAGCGGGGTGGGGGGGTGGGGGGTGGGGGGACATGGGGCTGGTTTCAAAAATCATCTTAAAGAGATAGTAGTCATTTCCATATAATTTTCTGCTGAGTTATTTTAAAGTAAAATGGAGTCAACGTGAACTTTACACATGGAAATAGGATCCCACAGTAAGAATACTTTTAAGTTTTGAAACGCAACATATTGACCAGCAATAAATTGCAAACCTAATAAACATTACTGCCAGAGGCTCGACTCACATTCAAACATCTCCTGTAGTGAATCCGGGATTTTAAAAACAGCCTGCCTCCCAGTGCCGGGCACAGCGCTGCGGCTCCCGACTTCATTCCCTCCTCACTGGCTCGGGGGAAGAAACACAGGAAACACGCAAATCCCCAGCCTGTGTTCCCCGCGCCTAGGCCTTCGCACGGACTTGTGGGAAACGTAGTCTTCCGCTGTACCGCGTTCAGAGGAGCCATTGTGGAAAGGGCACTTCCGCATTGCGTCTGCACCAGCGCCTCTGCTCGCAAAGTTGGGCGATTCTCGGGTCCTGCTCAGCGCTCGGGTCGCGTCTCTGACATGGAGGTTGGTCCAGGCTGCCGCGCATCTCTGCAGGTCGGAGGGACCGTGCAGGATGGGCGGATCCTGCTCGGAGGAAGCGGAGGAGGGAAGAACCGACTTGGTGGTGCTCTGCGGACCTAGGCTGGGCCAGGGCGTCTGGATGCCTGTTGGGGCTAGGGAGGGGGCGTTTGTGTGGTGCTGGAAATGAACGCCCTGTAAGCAGGGGGCGGCTGCCTGGGCCCACCAGGAGCTTCTGTTATGAGGGTTGGCTTGGTAGGGAAGGAATTGGGAAGTGTGGGAAATCCAGGATTGCTCGAGCAGGGTGGGTCGGCTAAGAGCCTGCGCTTGGAGGTGCCGGTGGGGGCACGGATTCCAGATTAGCTATGGAGGCGTTTTATTACTAGCTGACCCACTCTTGCCCGTCTGTTGTTAGTTTTCTCAGGACACCTAGACCAAATGGAGGTATGCCCCCCTCCTGCTTTATAGTATTGTTACAGTTGATAGAAGTTCATCAAGTTACTAGTTTCCAAGGACGGAGAGTTTTGCGAGGGTGATTGACGTATAGGATGTTAATCTCATTGTCATTGGAATAGATTGTTAGACTTATGAACTGCTGTTTTGAATAGGAATCTTTCATGATCACCACTGTGACCTGAATCCTGATTCTGACACTCCCACGTCGAGCCATGTAGAATCTCTCAAGGGAGAGATTCGAGTTTTGCAAAACAAATTGCTGATCCTACATTGTAGAGTTAAAAACAGTAGAGAATACTTCATCCGGTTTCATCAGGGATTATGATGTCATTGGCTTGGACTCCTTTGCAGAGTTTCGAGATGAGTTGATGTGAGGGTAGAAGTGTGTCTAGGGATTGCTAGCAAAGGGACATAGGTGCTTGAGTTTCTCTGGGGAGGAGAAATAGCCCTACACACACAACAGGCTGTTTGCTTTGCTCTCTAATCACACGATTTCTTCTATCGTTGTCCATTGTCTAGTGTCTAAACTCTCTAAAACTGACTCTGTCACTGATTGTGGTATCTGGGTTCCATGCTTCTCCCTTAACAGTTCTTGCATTTGAAGAATTGTGGTTCACTTGAGGTCCTGTAATGTTTATACAGTGGACTCCACACCCTGTCTTTTCTGCTGTTTCCTATTTTGTCTCACTTCAATAAAATCATGTGTTTATGTGCTGGAGACTGGCTTATAGCATTAAAGTCTGCTCAAAGGAAATGGTATTTTTTTTAGCCAGGCTGTGGTGGCACATGCCTTTAATCCCAGCACTTGGGAGGCAGAAGCAGGTGGATCCCTGAGTTTGAGGCCAGCATGGGCTACGGAGTGAGTTCCAGCACAGCCAGGGCTACACAGAGAAACCCTGTCTCAAAAAAACTAAAAAACAAAACAACAACAAAAGAAACAAGGTTTTTTTTTTTTTTTTTAAAAATTTATTAAACTTTTCTCATTAAAGTATTAAATGAATGTGAAACTCCACAGCTTCCATTCCAGGATTGGCTATTCTAACTATATAGACGTTCATTGAGGTTGTACCGACTTTGAGTCTGGTTAATTTCGGTGTGTGATGTTTTATTTCTAAGTTTTATATGAAGCATGTGGTCTTGAAAGCACCCTATCTTACATACCAGAATTTTCTGTAGACTTTGTAACTATAATTAATATAGATACTTCCTAGTTAATGTCACTAATCTGTGGGAAAATAACATTCTGTTTTTACTGCCTTGTGCATCAAAGCTGCTTATATACATAGTAAAGATGATGCAGCGCATGCTCACTATAACTTGTAAACCCTTCATGTATGTGTCATCTGCGGTCACAACCCCTGACCAAAGCATAGTCCATGGTGAAATGTTGCCATCTGCATTTGGGAGGTGGAAGCAGAGAGTCAGGAGTACAAGGTTATCCTCCGCTTAGAGACTTAAGGTCAACCTAGGCTAAATGAGCCATGTCAAAACATACTTTAAAACAATAACTTATGACTGCACTAAATGTATTTTATGGTTCCTGTTATCTGACTTAGTACCAGCAACCAGACAGAAATCTATCCAATTGACGTTTTGCTGATTTTCAAAAATTCTACACATGGTTGAGAAGTTCTGTTGACTCTGTTTGACATAGAATTTAATATTTTTCTTGCTAACTTACTTTTGTTAAAGTCATTCAATTTTGGAGATTAGATACTTGGTTTTATTTGCTATGTGGGGAAAAATTCTCTTCTTTGCTTTGCTTAATTTGCAGAGAACATTCATTACTTTTGGATATTAATCTTTGTTAGTTTCTGTCATGACCTCATGCTGCTTTCTTGTGTTTTTTCCTGAATGCTTCCAGTCTGTGCTCCTTTCCATCTCATTTGGGACTTCTATAATTTCCCCGTTTTTCCACTCTGCAGTTGTGACTGATGCAGCCCTCCATGATTTACATTCCTCTCTGTTTCTATGCAGCTTTAATGGCTTGCCCAGTTTACACAACAGGTTCAACAGTGTGTGGAACACTTCTTTATAGTTAGCCAGAACAGAACTCCAGCTCTGCATGTGGACAGTGACAACCACGTCCTCCAGTGTCCTTCACATCCAGCCAGTAAACTGCTAATGAGGGATTTCTTCCTCTTCTCAGGAGGAGTCGGGTCTCCCACGGGGTGCATTCCTGTCCTTTTCCTTACAGGCTTTTGTCTTTGTATTCCAATGCTTGTGTAAACGATGATATGAGGGAAAGAGTTACTAAGGACTTACTCATTTTGGAAACTCATATAGTGACGTTGTGTTAGACGTGTTGTACTTGGAAAACTCCGAAGGGAAAGTTTGCAGGATGATGACATTCATTTCTGGTGATCTATGTGACAAATGTTAGAGAATATGGAGAGAAGATACAGAAGTTATTTGTATAGATTCGAATAAGAGACAGAAATATATGCAAGGAATGAAAATGAGAAGCACAGACTTTCATCATCTTCTCCTTTTGGTTTATAAATGCTTCTGTGTTTGAGTCTATCCATAGTTGTTTTCAAATGCAGTGACATATTTTGAGTTGAAAAATAAAAGTATGTGTCAGATTGTCTGGCAGATTCTTTCAAATACATGCAGTTATTATCTTCTTTATGTAGATAGCTACATAAAATAAATCAGATGGATGAAAGAATGAACCCCTACTGTTGACAAGATGGACTGCACTTAATATTTTATTAGGAACATGGAGTAACATTGTAGTGAAAGTTTAAAATCACTGTTACATTTACACATTGAACGTACAGAATAAAGCATGTGCTACTTCTTTAGAAACTAATATGTTGTCTAAACAAGTATTCCATGTTTCAAATAAAGACATTAGCTATGGTCTCCCATACCATTTTCAGTGTTTGAAATATATGCTCTGAGTCATAGTATTGCAAAATGTGTTGACTAAAAATGAGAATTAATGATAGCTGCATGTAAGTTGCATGTGAGTCAAGAGCTGGGCCAGAGACCTGTGGGTTGACTACTTTATCATAATCCTGGTATGTTAAGGTAGCATGTTCTCTAATCCATAGACATTCTATGTCCAAAAATGGAATCAGAAGTAGCTAGAAGTTAATTGGGAATCCAGCCCTCTCTTTGTGTCTAGCTTTGACTTCCCCATAAGCTCCCGGCACTGAGGATTGTTAGGTATCTATGTCAGAGTAGCTCTGAGGGACACAGACATGATATGCAGGAGTTCTTATGACTTCTGCTCGCTCCATTCTGTTGATCTAGACTTGTGTCTAGGACCAACCTTCATTCAAAAGAAGGAAAGCTGAACTTCACCTTCTGACTGGTGGCCCTCTCATAGGTAAAGAACAGTGGAGGATGGGTTTCTCACCTGTTACTTGTTGAGATGCTTTCAACAGAGTCTCATTTTCTTTTCATAAGAAATGACTGGGTAAGGTGGCACACACCTTTAATCCCAGTGCTTGGGAGGCAGAGGGATTTCTATGAGTTTAAGGCCAGCCTCATTACATAATGAGTTCCAGGACATCCAGAACTACATAGTGAGACCTTAGGGCTCTGTTGGTCCAAAGTCCTCCTCCTCTTGCTGTTTAGATAGAAGACTGTTTCCCATATAGAGGTTTCTCTTCACTGCAGCTCCTCCAGGCTCGGGGACAAGCCTTTTGTTCTGTGGCCTTCTCCACTCGCTCTCCAGGTCTGTTGGGAGCAGCTACGAAGCTTTGTTTGTGTATCATGCGTGTTCGTTTTATCCACCATGTGTGAGGTATCAGCTTTGCCGGCTGCTGCTTCTGCTGAGATAACCCAGTGGGATTTTACAGAAGTGCCTTCTGGGTGAGGAGCCACTGTCTGCCCCCTCAGGATTCTTGCTTACATAACTTGCTTAGCCTTCTGTGACTCTCTTTAGTGTTGTCTAGACTGGAGTTTGGGGAAAGTCTTAGTTGGTGTCCATCGCTTATTTCACATAATGTAAGCTTAAAGACCTCATTTCTTAAAAATATTTTTCTCTTTTATGTGTTTCTGGTTTGATTTTTTTTAAGCGACTTCTTCACATATCACAGGCTAACTGTGAACTCCCTATGCAGATGAGACTGACCTTCAACACCTACAGCTTCCAAGAACTCAGATTACAGACATGTGACATCCTTTTGGTTTCCTTCTTTTCCTTTATTCTGTGTGTGGTGTTCCATAAATTCTTTACCCTCTCTTCAGGTTGGTTTTTATTTTTTGTTTTTGTTTTGTTTTTCCTGTCTTTTCTTTTTCTTTCCTCATTGTGTCTGCATGTATGTCTAGGACCTCCATGCTGTGCCTAAGCAGGAGGGGAATTCAAGAACCCTTGCACCATGGGTACCAGGGTTCCACTTCAGGTGGTTAGACTGGGCTTTTACCTGCCGAGTCACCCCACAGGCCTTCAGTATTTTTAATGTCTCTCTTCATGCTCTTTAACCTCTGGCAGGCTTCCTGTTTGCTGAGGTTCCTTCGGCCAGACCCTTCCTACGGTTCTCTCCTGTACTGTTTGCCCCTCACTACGGCATTTTCTGATCTGTCCTTGTGCTTTTCATATGCATGGTTGGTTTCCTATTTTATGTCTGCAGATATTTTCTTACCTTTTTGTTTGGTTGTCTGAATTCTCCTTTAGGTCATTACCACAGGGAGGGTGTTCAGGGCATCTTTGGAGTACTTTGTTTTTCTTGATCTGGTTCATGTTTCCTAACTGTATACTTTATGATGCTTATTGATCTTTGGTCTTTGAGAATAACAGTGACCACCCGTCGTGAGCTTGAATTTATAGGACCTTCAAATGTGTTGTAAGAAATTGAATGCCTTTCTACTCTTAACCCGAGAAAGGAACCAGGAAATTGGAGGCTACCCTCCAAACCATGCCTTGCTGGTCCTCACATGAGTAGTATGTGGAAAGCAGAGCAAGATGGCTTTTCCTAAGCAACTAGTTGGCTTCATATATTGAATCCATACAGTAAAGGGAAATGATTAACAGAAAGTTATCAAATTAATAAAAATGTAGAGTGAAGCTCAAAAGAAATCATAAGTGGAAATAATACAGGAATCAATAACTATATCATTCTTGTTCTTAAACACCTGTCTCAGTGGTGTCATTAAAATGAGCAGAATTACCATCCTCCTAGGGTGCATGCTCTACACAGTTGTACATTTCCCTGTTGTCAGAGCTGCTTTTCTAAGGTTACTTCCTGTTTTTACTGATACTGCAGCAAGTGTAAATATTATTTTACTAGGTTTGTTTTTCTGACCCTTTAGCAGCTTCCTTTGCTCATTTCAGTTACAAAGCTGACCTCAATAGTCTTATAGCATGAATACTTCAACTTTACTTTATATTCCCGTTTCTGTGGTTTCACAGTCACACAAACATGGCTGAAAACTGAGTTCTGTAATTTACTTGATTTTTTGACAATGAAATTATGGTGCACATGTTTACAGTGTGAAACTGTTCAGTCACACAAAACGATGAAATCCTGTAATTTGGGTCAATATGGAAGAGCCAGGAAATTATTACTTTAGGTAGAGAAAGACAAGTACACAAGAATTTTAACTTATAGAAGTTGGAGAAATAATGTTTGTTTCCCATCAATCAGTGACATCAGGAAAGGTAGTCATTGGAAAATGTTGACGAGTCAGTGCTCTTATATAGTTAGAAGGAAAAAGCTATGACAAATGTTGCCCAGAATGGTGACTATAAGTAACCATTTTGTAGTATATTACAGAAGATGAGAAAACAGAGTTTTTGTTTGTTTTGTTCAGTTTTTTTTGAGACAAAGTATCTCTATATAATCCTGGCTGCCCTGGAACTCACAGAGATCCACCTGCCTCTGCCTCTCAAGTGCTGGGATTAATGATGCGAACCACCACACCTGTCCTAAGGACTTTGGACATTTTAAACTTAAAAATTAAATGTTTGAGGAAATGACCACTCTAAAATTGATATAAAGACAAATGCACATTCTACCTATAACAATATTACAGAATACCCCCTTTAACATGCAAATCTCTGATTTTCTATTATGTAACCATAGGAAAAAATAATGTATTGCTGTCATTGACCATTTGAGAACTTTATGCAATGAGATGAAAAGCAACTCAACACTAAAATGTAAAAAAATAAAAATAAGGTGCTGTGGGATGTTCTGAATGGCAAATGTGTTGCTCTGATTGGTTAATAAATAAAACACTGATTGGCCAGTAGCCAGGCAGGAAGTATAGGTGGGACTAACAGAGAGGAGAATTAAGGAAACAGGAAGACAGAGGGAGAGACCTGCCAGCCGCCACCATGACAAGCAAGATGTAAGGTACCAGTAAGCCACGAACCATGTGGCAACTTATAGATTAATAGAAATGGGATAATTTAAGATAGAAGAAGTAGATAACAAGAAGCCTGAGCCATTAAGCCAAACAGTTTAAATAATATAAGCATCTGTGTGTTTATTTTATAAGTGGGCTGTCGGATGGCCGGGGCTTGGCGGGAGCTGGAGAGAAAACTCTCCAGCTACAATAACGGAAAATAATAATTAGCATCACAATTTATCATTCTTGTACTCAGCAGACTAAGCTAAAGTTGTCATGAGTTCAAAGACTGCTTATGAATATGATAAATACACGAATACATGTCTGATAAATCTTCATCACAGAAAGCAGGAAAGGGGAAAATGTAAGAATGTTAGTGATATCTAATTATTTTAAATATTAACAAAATGTTGTTATTGCTATACTTCCTAAGAATGTATTCATAAGCACAGGATGCCTATTGGTGTCTATGTTATTGGTTTTAATTAATATACTCTATTGTTCATTTCTCTGTATTTCAGGAAATGCTGTCATTCAGGGATGTGGCCATTGATTTCTCTGCAGAGGAGTGGGAATGCCTGGGCCCTGCTCAGTGGAGTCTATACAGGGATGTGATGCTGGAGAATTACAGCAACCTTGTGTTCCTGGGTGAGGATTGCATCTATAGTGAATTCTTTTTTGTGTATGTGTGTGGGTTTTGTGTTGTTGTTGGTTGGTTGGTTTTTTCATTTTTTGTTTGTTTTTGTTTTGTTTTGTTTTTTGAGCCAGAGTCTCTCTATGTAGTCCTGGCTTTCTGGAACTCTGTGTAGACCAGACTGGCCTTGAACTCAGAGATCCTCCTGTCTCTGCTTCCCTCCAAGTGCTGGTATTAAGTGCCACCATGCCTGGCTCATATTGGATTCTTAATTGAAGGTCAACATTAAATTCCTTTTATAAAACATCTCATGGGAGCTTGTACTTTCCAACAGTGAGGGTGATGGCCTACATCTAAGGAAGAATAAGGGAGATTGTTAAGGTAACTAAGACAATTTGTTGTTTTTTTTTTCTTCTTGTTTTTTTAACCTGGCTCTTTCTTAAAGTATCCTTTACTCTGGTGGTGATGCTAGGAATTCACAGACATGAGGCACACCCTTAAGTTTTAATTTTATTTATTTATTTGTAAATGAAGAAACTGAAGCTGAGTATATCCTTTTTTCCCTCTAAGGACACAATACTGGAATAGACATGTTATTTCCCAGGTGAATAACACACCAACCATCTTGTTCTTTTTCCCCACAATCAGGGCTTGCTTTCTCTAAGCCATACCTGGTCACCTTTCTAGAGCAAAGACAAGAGCCTTCAGATGTGAAGAGACAAGCAGCTGCCATACAAACAGGTGCGTAGAAATGAGGATCAGGAGGACAGAGTGGGCTTTCCAACAGAAGGCCAGGCTTTACCATGTGCACTCTTTCTTATACTGTGATGGAAATCAATTTTTAGATATTCCATTCATTCATTCATTTATTCATCTACCATATGATGCTTTAAGTGTCTAAGCGTTGTTCCCCACAGAGAGCTCTGCTTGTGTTTACAGTGACAACAAAGATTGTCATTTTGCTGAGAGTCTGCATTGTAATGGACTGTTTCCTATACTTATGTTTAAAGACGTGGGAGTCCATTATCATACAATATAATCACAAATGCATTTCTTTTTTTTAAGTTTATTTACTTATTATGTGTACAGTGTTCTGCTTGCGTATATCCCTTCAGGCCAGAAGAGGGAGCCAGATCTCATTATAGATGGTTGTGAGCCACCATGTGGTTGCTGGGAATTGAACTCAGGACCTCTGGAAGAACAGCCAGTGCTCTTAACCTCTGAGCTATCTCTCCAGCCCCCACAAATACATTTCTTTCACATCACTTACATGTATGCTAATTTAAATTTTTTCAAAATCACCATGAATGATTGTAATGTATTCTCAAAGTTTTTTTCTCATATATTCAGTGTTACTGATCTAAAACACATGCCCTTTATGGGTATATTTTCCTAGATTAAAACCTTACATGTCTAAAGAATGTTTTTAATAGCTTATCAGTTGTTTTTCAGGATTTAGTGGGTTCAGGATTCTCTTTTCATTATTTTACAACTTTATTTTCTATATTATTGGAGTCTAGGTTGTCTAAAATCATTTGTTTACATGTAAGCTATATGTGGATGAAGTATATAATACTAAACACTTTAGGACAGTGTAAGATTAAAAAGCATCAGGGAGCTTTGGTTCTGTGAGCATCAGAAGTGTGTGTTTCCACTTGATATGTACACACGAGCATACGCGTCTCTGATTCCCATGCCTTGTGCAGCATCTCATCACTGACTGTTGTAAGATTGTGTTATCTTAGACATGGGGCTGATTCTGTCATTTAGCCTTTGACTGATATGTGCCTTTAGTAAAGGTTCTATCATTATAGGTGAACTTGTGGACTTTTTTCTTTTCATGATTTGATTCTTTTAGATACTTATTTCTTGTGAAAATACAACATGTAGCTTCCTGACTTAACTCCCTGAAATATCATACTTAATATTATGGAGAGTTTGTTATGCAGTATATATTTTGTGCCTTCCAAATTAAAACTAAGGATATAAATTGTGTATTTCTACATTCTTCCAACCTCAGGCAATCACCATTAATGTAATGTTTTCCACGTGTAGCTATTTATATTTTTCATCTATCTCTGTTCATACAATTTATACATTTTTAATGGGTTCATTTCTGTGAACATGATGCCCTTAAGAGTTCTCATTATTACTGATAGTACATCTTCCTTTGCTATTAAACTGTTAATAATATTCCATTATTTCTGCATTCTATTTTGTCTTCCTCTTCTTCCAGTGGAAATTTATATTGTCTCCACTCACTGCATGTTCTGAATTACACTGCAGTGAGTGTAGGTGGAGAAATCTGTGATTTCTCGTTTTCCTCTAAAAATGTGAGTAAAGGTCCCCATATTAAAGGTAAGCATTGTAAATATAGGAACGTTACTCAGTTTTTATTCACATGTCAACTTTTACTCACCAGATATAAAACCATATAAATGTAAAGAATGTGGCAAAGCCTGTGATTGGGACTCACTCCTTGAATACCAGAGAATTCATCCAGGAGAGAAAGCCTTCAAGTGTGAAGAGTGTGATAAGGCTTCCGAGTCTTGCTCAGTACTTTCTGAACACCAGATAATTGATACGGGAGAGAAAGCCTACAAGTGTGAAGAATGTGGCAAAGCCATTTGTACTTGCTCAGGACATTCTAGCTACCAGAGAATTTGTATTGGAGAGAACCCCTACAGGTGTGAAGAATGTGGAAAAGCCTTTCCCACTTATTCCTGTCTTACTGAGCACGAGGTAGAACACACTGAACAAAAATTCTATAGCTGTGAAGAATGTGGGAAACTGTTTTATTGTCATTCTCACCTTACGGAACATCAAAGAATTCATTTTCAAGAGAATTCCTTTAAGATTGAAGTATGTAGCGAGGACTTTTGTTCTCCCATAGAACTTTCTAACGACCAGAGGTTTTGTACCGAAGAGAAGGCCTACAAGTATGAAGAATGTGTTAAGGCCTTTAGTGCTTGCTCAGTGCTTTCCGATCACCCAAGACTTCACCCAGGAGAGAAAGCCTACAAGTGTGAAGAGTGTGGCAGTGCCTTCTGTGCACTCCATTCAGTCTCTAAACAGCTGAAAATTGATTGTGAAGTGAAGTCCTACAAGTGTGACGAATGTGGGAAAGTCTTTCCTAGTCATCTTTCCCTGATTCAGCATAAGATAGGCCATACTAGAGAGAAACCTTACCAATGTGAAGAATGTGGCAAAATGTTTTACTGTTCTTCAAACCTTAAGCAACATCAAATAACTCATTCTCAAGAGAAACCCTACAAGTGTGAAGTGTGTGGCAAGGTCTTTAGAACTTGCTGGCAACTTTCTAAACACCTGAGAATCCATTCTGGAGAGAAACCATACAAGTGTGAAGAGTGTGGCAAAGCGTTTTATACTCTCTCATACCTTACTCATCACAAATTAGGTCATACTGGGGAGAAACCTTACAAGTGTGAGGAATGTGGCAAGACCTTTTACTATCCTTCAGTCCTTAAGGAACACCAAGCAATTCATTCTGGAGAGAAACCATACAGGTGTGAAGAATGCGGCAAGGACTTCTGTACACGTTCAGGACGTTCTAGACACCAGCGAATTCATACTGGAGAGAAACCCTACAAGTGTGAGCAATGTGGAAAGGCCTTTTCTACTCATTCATACCTTTCTCATCACAAGATAGTTCACACTGGCCATAAACCCTACAAGTGTGAGGAATGTGGCAAAAAGTTTTACTATCCTTCTCGCCTTAAGGAACATCAAAGAATTCATTCTCAAGAGAACCCTTACAAGTGTGAAATCTGTGGCAAAGCCTTTTATACTCACTCATACTTTACTCAGCACAAATTAGGTCATACGGGAGAGAAACCTTACAAGTGTGAGGAATGTGGCAAAACCTTTTACTATCCTTCAATCCTTAGGGAACACCAAGCAATTCATTCTGGAAAGAAACCATACAGGTGTGAAGAATGCGGCAAGGACTTCTGTACGCGCTCAGGACGTTCTAGACACCAAAGAATTCATACTGGAGAGAAACCCCACAAATGTGAAGAATGTGGGAAGGTCTTTTCTACTCATTCATACCTTACTCAGCATAAGGTGGTTCACTCTGGAGAGAAACCCTACAAGTGTGAGGAATGTGGCAAAAAGTTTTACTATCCTTCTCGCCTTAAGGAACATCAAAGAATTCATTCTCAAGAGAACCCTTACAAGTGTGAAATTTGTGGCAGTGTCTTTTGTACTCCCAAAGGACTTTCTAAACACCAGAGATTCCATACCGGAGAGAAACCCTACAAGTGTGAGGAATGTGGAAAGATGTTTTACTATCCTTCTCGCCTTAAGGAACATCAAAGAATTCATTCTCAAGAGAACCCTTACAAGTGTGAAATCTGTGGCAAAGCCTTTTATACTCACTCATACCTTACTCAGCACAAATTAGGTCATACGGGAGAGAAACCTTACAAGTGTGAGGAATGTGGCAAGACCTTTTACTATCCTTCAATCCTTAAGGAACACCAAGCAATTCATTCTGGAAAGAAACCATACAGGTGTGAAGAATGCGGCAAGGACTTCTGTACGCGCTCAGGACGTTCTAGACACCAGCGAATTCATACTGGAGAGAAACCCTATAAGTGTGAGCAATGTGGAAAGGCCTTTTCTACTCATTCATACCTTTCACAGCACAAGGTGGTTCACTCTGGAGAGAAACCCTACAAGTGTGAGGAATGTGGCAGGATGTTTTACTATCCTTCTCGCCTTAAGGAACATCAAAGAATTCATTCTCAAGAGAATTCCTACAAGTGTGAAATCTGTGGCAAAGTCTTTAGTGCGCACTTAGAACTTGCTACACACCTGAATATTCATTCTGCAGGTGTGTAGGATGTGGAAAGGCTTTTAACTTATCCATCCTTACCTCGACACAAATTCCTGGAGAGAAATCTTACCTGTGTAAGGAATGTGGCAAAATGTTTTCTGTCCTCCAAACCTTAAACAACACCAACTAACTAGTTCTGGAGGGAAATCACACAAGTGTGAGGACTGTAGGAAGGTCTTTTGTACTCACTTAGAGCTTTCTAAACATCAAAAGAATCATACTGGTGAGAACGACCACAGATGTGGAAAAGCTTCTACTAGACTTTTTATCCTTACCCAGCACAAGGTAATTCATTCTATTCAGAAACACTGTTCGTGGGAAAATGCTGGAAAATTTTTAGTCTTCAATTCTTAAAAAAATGTCACAGAGTTCATTCTCAAGAGAGACCCTGCAAGTGTGAGGGGTGTGTCAAAGCCTTTGGTTATCATTCAGACCTTATCCAACTCAAATGAATCTATTGCAGAGAGAAATCTAACCCTTCTGAAGGATGTGGCAAGTGCTTTACTAATAATCCAACACTTTCTAACCTCCATAAAAGTTATACTGGGGAGAAACACTACAAATGTGAATGAATTGACGAGCCTTTTAGAGGCTCTTTATCGGTTAACACCAAAGTGTTGGTACTGAAGAGCGACCTCACAACAGTAGAGCATGTTATGAAGGTTTCATTTGTCAGTCAGCTCTTGCTGAACATCAGAGCATTCACACTCAGGAGAATCTCTAGAAAATATATGGAATATAAGCAGGTGTTTAGTTATAATTTGCCACTGCATAAGCATGAAAGAATTAGTACCACAGAAATGCAAAGAATGTGGCAAGGCCTTTAGCTGTTTTTCATACTTTAATTATCCTCAGAGACTTCATACTGGAGAGAAACTACACATATAAATAATGTGTCAAACCCTTTAATAATATTTCAAATGTCAGTCAACACCAAAGAATTCAGTAAGCTTCACTGTTCAACTTCACACCTCTTCATTTTCTAAGGGAGTCTCAGCTGTGTGGTTGCCCGGATCTGACTGGCTTACAGATGTGGCTATGGGACCCTGGATGCTGATTAATGCCCAGTCCCACCCCTGGGCAGATGGTCCTGGTGAATGAGAATTCTGGCCAAGCAGAAATCAGAGGGAGCAAGCCAGTAAACAGAATACTTAAGTTCTTGCCTCAAGATTTCTCCCTTGAGCTCTTATCCTGGCCGAACTGGTTTTCGAATTCCTAAACTGGAGTAAACCCTTTCCTCTCCTAAGTTGTGTCTTAGTCATGGCATTATCACAGCAACAGACATCAAAGTCACACAGCAGTGGACATGTAAAGGCTTTTCAATTTTATACCTTAATTATCATGTCTTCCTACTGGAGAGAATGTCACAATGTCTTTTAGAGTGGAGAATCAGGCCCCTAGCGTCAGCTAAAAACATGAGTCCTATAGCAGAGACTTCCCTTTGCTGTAATCTACAAACCTGTTTTAGACAATGTTTTCAGGGTGCATCAATTGATTGTTCTATAACTACAAATGTTTCCTGAAATTGTTACCATGTTGTCGGTCTGTACCTGGGTAACCTGAATCTGGATTCTTGAGCCATGATCTTTATGGCGGATTTCCCCCTTGGGGTCCCCCAATTGTTAGTAACTCTTCCCCTTTGGTCTGTAAGAAAACCCAATAAATTCACTTTTCTCATCAATTTGGGCTGTGGTGAAATCCTAGGATCATTTGTTGTTGGGTCCCTTTGTAGTGACTAAGCATTCGTTGTGTCTAGAGATAGGTAACATGTCATTCATATATGGCTCCAAAATAAACAATGTCTCATTCCCTTTCAGGTGAGAACTGTGATTTTTGTATAACAACATAATCCCTGTTTTCATGGAACTAGAACCATTCGGAATCAGGGACACAAGCCACACACACTCATTCAGGAGATAGGACGGATTTGGTTACTAACTACTTCTTCAAGTATTAATCATGGTAATTTCAGTTCTTATTTGCATATATCCAAAAAGGCATAAAAAATTGAGTTTACTTAAAAAGAGACAATATTGAAACTTCCTTAGCAACATGATTTACATTTGTTCCTTTAATATTACTTTCCTTTTTTGTTTGAGCTATTGTCAGTCTTTATGGAGAAAATAGATACGCACCATCTTTGCCACCTCATTCTATCACAGGTGGCATTTTCTTTCTTTCTTTTTTTTTTTTCGAAGACAGGGTTTCCTGTGTAAAAGCCCTGGCTGTCCTGAAACTCACTCTGTAGACCAGGCTGGCCTTGAACTCACAGAGATCCACCTGTCTCTGCCTCCCAAGTACTAGGATTAAAAGCGTGCACCTCCATGTCCAGCTACAGGTAGCATTTCTATCTTGGGTCATTTTAAAAGCTGTTTTCCTGTGTTGTAATTGTCTTAGGGAACAGTTATATTCAGTTTCACAAGAGAATCTTGACAGGCTGACTCCTTAATCACAATAACACAACTAGAAAAAACTGCACTGAAGACACACCATTACTCTTTGAAAAGAGGAACCCCCAAGAAGCATCTTTTTTTTTTTTTTTTTGGTTTTTCGAGACAGGGTTTCTCTGTGTAGCTTTGCGCCTGGAACTCACTTGGTAGCCCAGGCTGGCCTCAAACTCACAGAGATCCGCCTGGCTCTGCCTTCCAAGTGCTGGGATTAAAGGCGTGCGCCACCACCGCCCGGCTCCCGAGAAGCATCTTAACCACAGCATAGGAACTAGCAGGAGATACAGGAGAGTTCATTTGTCCTTACCAACCCACCAAGTACAAAGTTCTTTATTGAGGTGTGGAGAAATGGCTCAATGGTTAAAATAAATTGATTCTCAGACAGGGAACCCATGTTTGGTTCTCAGCATCCCTATGTCTGCTCACAACTATCAATAATACCAGTTGCAATGGATGTGACTTCCTCTCTGATCTGCATGGGCACTGAACACACATAGTTCACAGACATCTTCTGTTCCCTGAAGTTACATCAACACAGGCCTCTGTGCTTTCAAGTTTAATAATGATTAGTAACAAGTAACTGAACTAATTATTGGAGATGTATGACGAAGGAAAGAAAGGGAGGTTTGGAAGGCCGCTGCAGAATTCCTCTTTAGTATTCATGGCAAATGCAAGTGGGAGATGCCAGGTTAGTCTCACCCTATCGAATCTCCAGGGAGCATCTCCTTTCTGTTCTCTAGGGTTACATTGATGCAGGCTTCTGTGGCTTTTAGAACCAGAGACTTTTGAGTACCCTTCTCTCTTGGTTCACTCTTTCTCCATAATAAAATGATGTCCCTCTATAAACTTTATTACAGCCAGATTCATGGAACTGATCTCTACTGAAACTAGTCAATCTTGCATATTCCCCAAAACCACAGCTCTTTTTTTTTTTTAAAAGATAATTTTATTTCTTTGGAAAGCATTGTTCATGTATATAGTGTCTTAACCATATAGCCTTTCCATTCCTTTCCTGCAAGTCTCTCTCCTATCACTACCTTCTCTTTTCTCTCCCAACTAAGTCCATTGCTAAAATATATTTAGTCCACTGAATTCAGCCTGTATATGGAGAGGTATAGTACAAGTCACAAGTATGGGAAGTTTTTCAGGCTAACACTATGTTCCCCAGAACCCACCAACTGCCAATAGCTCTACAGCTAAGCTTAGTAATCCACGGGCCCCTCACTGATCCATACTAGTTTGGCTGGATTTACCTTGTGTAGGTGTTGTGCATGTAGTAACAGCTGCTGGGAGCTAATTTGTTCAGTGACCTTGTTATCGTTAGAAGGTACTGCTTTGCTGAAGACATCTAATAGCTCTGGCTCTTACAGGCTTTCCAACCCCTCTTTACTTACCCATTATCATAATAAGAACTTACAGTTCGATATCTCATAGACCCTAGGAGAGAATTAACTACTGTTATTGTGCTAAGTGGACATAGTATTAAACCAACTCCTAATAACTGATAAGTATGGCCAAAGATTAAGACATTTCATCCCTCATCAACAAAACTTCTGGTTACAGTAGATCATTGTCAGCACAGACCCCCAGTGGCCAACATGCAGCGCATAAGTGACTATAATTTCCAGTACTAAATTGAACATATATACCCCACCCCTTCTTCCAAAGGCTTAGGTATTGTGGAGGAGGGGATGGAAAGAGTATAAGTACAATAAAGCAGTGTCTTCCGGACCCACAGAACACCTGCACGTATAAAGTCAGGGTATTTGATGCCATGCCTAAGACTGCAACAGTAGACAGACTAAATAGCTGTATACCCTGGGCAGTTGGCCACAAAGTTCCACCACTAGCCAAGGTCCTATGGGAAATTCCTAACTGTTGAGTGGGAAGGGTCAATTTTCTTAGTGTTGCCACCAGTAAGTTGACCAAACTCCAGTGAAAGGCCACATATACAAGAATATTTAGAAGGGACAAGTTGTCCTTTGGAGGCAGGTGGAGACAGGAAACAGTCATGAGTAGGATGTGAAGGAGGTTGAACCTGGGAAGAGTTGGGTGAGGGAGGGTAAATAAAATTGAATCGTGCAAAATTCTTAATAAAAAAAGAAAGTGGTAAATGCTTGTGCTTACTTCCATTTCTCCTTTTTATTAGTTCAGGAGCCCATCACATGGAATAGTGCCACGCACATAAAGGATGACTTTTTCAGTCTTAACTAACTTATCTAGAACAACCCTGTGACCAACAAATTACCTGTACTTTAAGAGCTATGAAATTAACAGGGATATATATTTTCAACTTACTCAACTTTATTTGGCTTTTTCAATTTGCTGAATTGGTAAACCATCCCAAATCTTGACTGCAGTGTTGGTAAGTGGAGAAAATAATGGAATATCATAAAAAGTAATTTTTTGACTCACTCTTGCAATGTGTCTAAGGACCACTGTCCTGCACCTGACTCCCCATACTCTAACCCTCCATTTTAGGTAGGAAATCCCACACTCTTACCAACAATTCCACCAGCACCCATTATATGAGGAAAACTCCCAGAACACCTTCCTCAGGCTCCTGAAGATTGCAGTCCTCAAACCACAAAAGGTCTGCTTCTGGACTTAGCTTGAGCTAAGCCAAGGTAGTTCTGCAACCCCATGTAGACATCAGCAACTGAATTGCCCAAGACTGAACCTTAAGCCCAATACAGCTGGTAACTACCTGACACATTCAGCTACTAGGAGACAGAAGTTCAAACAAACAAGATTTTACTATCAAGACAGTACCAGTCTCCTAGGTGCCATTGCAAACACACAAACATGAACAAGCCAAAAACAAGTGTGTGATTTGAGTAAGAACGGTCTCCATAGGCACATTTATTTGAGTGCTTATTCAGCCAGAAGTGGAACTCTTTGAAAGGGTCAGGAGGTGTGGCCTTATTGGACTAAGTGTGCTTTTGTAGTAGGTATGGCCTTGGAAGGAGTGTGTCACTGAAGTTTCAAAAGCCTACTCTGCAGATGACATAGGTCTCAGCTACTGCTGCAATGTCACATGTGCTGTCATGCCCTCACCATGATGATAATGGCAAAGCCCTGAAACTGAGCAAGCTGCCAATTAAAAGCTTTAAGAATTGCCTCGGTCATGGTGTCTCTTCACAGCATTCGGACACTGATTAGGACAAGTCTCCACTAAAAATTAGTAGCCTCAAAAGTGATTTAGATGATGGACAGGAGAATGATTTCAAAAAGGCAATGATAAACATGACCAATGAACTCAAAGAGGATATGAATAAATACCAGAACAAAGACCACAAAAACAGTTGAATGAAATAATGAAAGCAGTTCAAGATAAGAAAACAATTTATTTAAGGGCTAACATTGCTGAAAAGCAAAGCAAAAATAGAATAAAACTTGAAATGTAAAATTCAGGAATTCAAACAAAAAATTGAGAGAAAGACCTCACCAACAGATTAGATGAAATGACACCAAGGAGGGGAAATGGATCACTTAGTCAAAATGTCAAATCCAAAAATGCAAGAATGGAATACACAGGAAATCTAGGATGGTGCAAAAGAACCAAACATGAATAAAGGGTGTAAAGAAGAGATCCAGGTCAAAGGCACGGAAAGTGTTTTCAACAAGATCATGGAAGAATATTTCCCTAATCTATGGAAACAGGTGCCTATGAAGATTGAAGAGTCATATTGAACAACTAATGGAACCCGAGAAGGAAATATTCACGTTATGTAATAGTCAAAACAATAAATGTACAGAACAAAGGGGCTTTTGTAATCAGAAAGAAGGAAAGATGAAGTCACGGACACTAGCAGGCCCATTAGAATCACAGGGAGTTTCTCTGTGGAGACCATGGCAGCCAGAAGGAATTGAACTGATGTCCTAAAAGTTTTAAAAGACCGCAGATTCCACTCCCAGCTACTATACCCAGCAAAACTGTCATAGGTAAAGGAGATGAAAACAGATTTAAAGAGTTACATCCTGTAAGCCAACCCTACAGAAGATACTGGAAGAAATACTTAGGTCAGAAGATTAAATGTGGCCAAGAAGGCACAGGGAAGAAATAAACAATTCCACAATACAATGTTTAAGAAAGGTGTAATAAAATATTACATAAGCAGTTTGATTAACAGATTGTATCAAAAAAACAGGGTCCATCTCTTTGCTGGGCTTGTCCCCAGCTGTTGGTGCAGACTGCCTGAACACTTCTCACCCATATGGACATGGATTGGATATTTCTGCTCTGGCCCAGTTTTCCCTTCCTGCTTCGGCTGGACTCAACATTAAAGCTTTGCCTCTCCCTTGACCTCAGGAGTGGCTCTTTCTCTACGCTGGCTTGGGTTTTATTGTCAATACAGACTCTACTTGT